GGGGCCCTTGCCGCCGTCATCTTCCGCGGGCGGCCGCCCGCGCCGGCCGCCGGTGCGCTGCAGAAGCCATGAGTAATCAGTTGTGCTGAGGCCCTTGCGGGCCGCATAATCCGCCACCGCCCGCTGCAGCTCCGCCCTCTCAGCATCGCTAAACTTGCCGTGCTTCACATCAGCACGCGCGTAGTCGGCACGCCAGGTGGCCTCCGAGGGTTCGCCGCCGCCGCCGCCGCTGCCATTCGGGTCGCCGCTGGCGTCGCTCCTGAGATGGCGGCAGGCGGGTGCGGCGTGGCAGGGAGTTCAACAGCACTGATGCAAGAGCCCCTGCTTCAGTAGCACCCTAACTCACGAGGCATACAACGCCGAATCGAAGTCAGAAACGGCAGCACTCTGCAATTAGGTAAGCACGGTACAAAAGCAGCTGGGAGCAGCAAAGGGCGGGCCTCAGCAAAAGTGGTATGGATGTCTGCAAGCCCCCAGCCTCCGTGGAGACCAGGAGTGCTTCAGAGTCATGGAAGTTTTGTAACCCATCACCGGCCACATATTTCAAGCAAAGCGAGCCAGCAGCGGCAGCATTGAACATCACACCCAGGCAAGGGGCCGGCGGCCTCCGCGGCCTCCGCACAAGGCGTCTCGCTCACCCGGGTGCAGGGGAGCCGCGGCCTGACGATGGCCCCGCTGCGGCGCCACTGGCTTGTCGTTCCGCCAGAGCGCTGCCCGAGATCTCCTCCCCATTCTGCTGCTGCTGCTGCTGCTTCTGCTGCTGCTGTTGCTGCTTCTGCTGTTTTCTCCGTTTCTTGTGTACCTGCTGCTCGGGTTGTGGCTCTGCCTCCTGCTGCTGCCCCTGCTCCTGCTGCTGCTGATGCTTCCTCTTTGTCTTGCGCTTTTGCTTATCTGTTTGCTGCTGCTCTTGTGCCTCACCGCCATGTTTCTCCTCCTCTTCAATCTTCGGCTGCAGCTGGTCTTTTTTGCGGCGCTTCTTTGTAACCGGCTGCCCCTCCTGCCCGGCCGCCTCCTGCTGCCGTTTGCTCCCGTGCGCCGTGTCCGTGCCGCGTTTTGCAGCGGACGGTGCGGCGCCAGAGGTGACTTGCTGCTGTTGCTGCTGCTGTGTCAGCACCAGGTGGTTGTTCTCCAGGGCAACTCGGCTGCGCAGCAAGCACATGTTGGTCGATGAGTGAATGGAGGCGTTGGAGGCCGGCCATCAGGAAAGGGGTGAGGGGTGAGACCTGGCCCTGTGCGGGCCGTCATGGCAGGGCGGCGAACCCCAAAAGCGAACAGGATATATCCGGCGCACATGTGTTGCACGATGTAGGAGACCCCCACCCCTGTGCCCAGCTCACGTGTCAACATCTCACCCGCCCTTCTGACGCAGCAGCTGTTCGAGCGCGGCCATGACGGCGGCATCAGCAACAGCCACGTCCTTCCTGGCCAGCTTCTTACGCACTTTTACGCAGGCCTGGATGTGACGCAGGCCGGGATGTGGAAACGCAGGCTGGTGCGTAAGACTGTCGGCAGCCATCACGACGGCTGCGGCAATTCGGTGCATCTTCGCAACATCAGCCTGCCGAGTTTGCTGCGGGACACACAAACAGACCCCACCTTGGACGCGGTCAAGCGGCCCTTCTTCGACAGCAGCTTGACGAGGTGCCGTTCCAGCACCCCCACCTCCATCCTGGATGATCTCGTGGTCACAAGACAGCTTGGTGGGGAAGTATAATGTACATGTGTTCCGATAACACTCACGAAATACTACCATACGCAGCAGGCAAATGAAAAATTGTGTGATCCGGGGGAACTTTGAAGGCGCACTGATACGGCACTCTAGAATGATGTCACTGCATTTGATTTGACACAAGTTGCTTCTGGCACATGCCCCGTAATAACCTTTGTCGGCACACCCCGCTGGGTTGCCGCTCAAACCGCTGTTGCCGCCCACACCCTCCCCAGCGCACTGCACATCTGTGCTGCTGCTGCAGCAAATGGGTCAATAGCAAAAGCTTCCACGACGCAAATTGGGATGTTGGGTCTCCGCAGTTCTCTGCTGCGCCACGGGGCTCGCTCGGTGGCGGCAGCGGGCTGCCGCCTGACATCCAGATGCATGTGGCAGTGTCCAGCTCGCCGCACGCCGCACTTGGTGGCAGCGGCATTTTCCACTTTGGGCAGCCCGCCCCCCATGCCCGTGGTGCACCACCATCTGTACAGTGCGCCCCAGCTCGCGCCCGGCCACCGGTTCCCGATGCAGGTGCCTGGGAGCGCAGCGTGCAGTCGTGCTGCGCGCGCTCTGCCGGCCACCCTTTTGCCAGCTGACAACACCCCATCACTCGACAAACCCCTTTCCTTTGTGATCGCACCGTCATCAAACGCAGTCGAGCCCCAACGCAGTGCCATCGCACCATCGCCCTTGCCCTGCCACAGGTGTTTGGGCGCATCTACGAGCGCCTCCTGCGCACCGGAACGATTCACGAGAGCCAGGTGCACACACCACCAGCGCTGCCAACCGACGAAGAGCTTTCCATTGTCCACTGCCCGGACTACCTGGCGGCCTTCTCCAGCTGCTCCCTGGATGCGCAGCTGACACGCAGGTGCGCGCGAGCGCCTACGTAGGGGGCTGGAGGGGGAGGGGGTGCACGCGAGTGCTGAGGGCAGTGCGCGGATGGATGGAAGCACCTCGACCACCTGGTGAAGGAGGATGGCCGCCGCCGCCCACCCACTTGAAAGCAGCCAGCAGGCATGCTGCGTTCAATGCTGCAAGGTTGGGCAATTGGCTGAGGGGCTGCCCCCCTTGCCTGTGCTGCAACTGTGTCAGCCAATAATGAGCATGCACTCACTGTTCGAGAGCATGTGTGCCCGCAGGATCGGACTGCGCGAGGCGACCGCCACGCCGCTGCTGGTGGCGCGCACAAAAGCAGAGGTGGCGGGCACGCTGCTGACGGCGCAGCTCGCTCTCAAGCACGGGCTGGCCTGCAACACGGCTGGCGGAACCCACCACGCGTTCAGGTGTGGGGGACACCTGGCGCGCCGAAAGGCTTATTCGTATAGCCTGCAGCTGCCTGCTGCCCAGAGGGCCGTGAGACCTTGTCCTTCTGCCACCCTCCACCCTGCCTGTGCCACCCAGCCTACGGCAACTTAGCGACTGCTTTCGCCGACCAGCCCGCTTTTGTTCGTGCCGCCTGCCTTGCGGCCGACCTTTCGCGGCCGAACCACAGGGACTTTGGCAGCGGCTATTGTATCCTCAATGACTTGGCGTTCACTGCGCACGAGCTCATACGGCGGGGCGCGGTGGCGCGCGTCCTAATTGTTGACCTGGACGTACACCAGGTATGGCGGGTGGATGCGGGCGGCGGGTGGGAAAGGCCGGGCTGGCCCAGTGGTGGTATGCGTGCATGTGCTTGGTTGCATGTATGCGATTCACGTGTTGCACCTCACTGGCGGAGACAATCGCCGCTCGCAGCGCTTTCATTGCCTGAGTCTGTGCTGCTAGGCCACCCTTTTCCCGGTGTGTACACAGCCCGGTTTTGACCTGCTTCCCACTTTGCCCCTGCCCCTCACACACCGCCACTCTCACAGGGCGATGGCACCGCCTCGATCTGCGCAGGCAATCCCGCGATCTTCACGCTGAGCGTCCACTGCGGCAGCAACTTCCCGGCGAGAAAGATGACGTCAGACTTGGACGTGGCCTTGCCAGACGGCACTGGTGATGCTGAGTACCTGGCGGCGGTGGGCGAAGTACTGCCGGGTGTCATCCAGGATTTCGCGCCAGATCTGGTGCTGTATGACGCAGGTGGGTGATAGAACATTGAACGCCGTGTTCTGGGCCCTTGTCAGCAGGGGCGAGGCTCTGCATGCAACAGTTGGACTGGACATAGTGCAACGCGCATCAGGGACGCTCGCCCGGCTGCCTTGCTTCTAGCACTGGGCAGCCAATTCACCGAAGCTGTGCGAGGAAGGCCCTGTGAATAAAGGGCGCACGGGTCGTTACGCGTGCGCCTTCGTCCCAGCCACCTCGAATCGATTTGGAGCCACCTTGGCAGCGCAAATCATACTCTCATGACTGTCAGGCGTAGACGTCCACGAGGCGGACGCGCTGGGGCGCCTGTGTGTCACCGACGCCGGCCTGCTGCGGCGAGAGCTGCTGGTGCTGGACACCTGCCTGGGGGCGGGGGTGCCGGTGGCGGGCTATGTCGGCGGTGGATACGATGACGACCTGGAGGTGAGTGCGTGTGTGTGTGTGTCCGTATACGTGTACGTGTGTGTACACGTTTATTTTGAGAGCATTGGGCTTGCGGGCTTTTCATTTATCAGGGCGTTTGTGTGCACGTGAATAGGATGAGTTGGGTGCGCCGAGGTGAGGGTGGATGATGCTTGGGACTATCTGGAGCTTGGCGTTTGGGTCCTGCGACCAATGCCATTTTACATAATGACATGGTGATGGTTCATGTTCAAGGTAAGACCAGCGGAACCCTGATGCATATGCAGCGATTGATCACTTCTCAATCTACATATGGACCAGCGTGCCAGCTGTGCTTGAGAGTGGTGTTCATTTCTCATTTGCTCCCCTGATGAATTCTTGGGGCCGACTTCCTCAGGTGCTGGCTGCCAGGCACTGCGCGCTGCACAAGGCCGGGCTGCGCATGTTCAAGGATTACAGCCTTTGACCGCGCGGTCGAGGCCATCGGGCTGCGCTCAGCTGGACTCGGCGCTGAGATGCACTGAGGTCCTCGTGCAGCCTTCAGACTTATACGTTCATTCCATTGCTCTGTGTTGCCGCCGCAGAGGCGGAATGGAAGCAGCAAATCGATCTGCGACCTTGTGTGCCAGATGGTCACCAGGATGCTGTGCAGTCGGTCCTGTTGGGCATCAGCCTGCATGCAATCATCAGTGAGATAGGGCCATGCGGTCTTGAGCTCATGGTGTGGAGCTTCAACGAGACAAACCGTAGCTCGGTCAAGCCCTAGCTGCGGGAGCATGGCAGTAAAGTGCGCGTCGGCCCAGGTCAACCAGATCGAGCTTGTGGCACCCGACCGCACCCAACCCAGTCACAATGGTGGAGAGGCGCGTCAACCTGCCGTCCTCCCCGCATCGCAACTTGTCGCTTTGTGTTCACAGTCACATGCATAACCAGGCTCTCAAAGGCATGGGTTCAAGATCAATACCGTGCAGATCACGTAAATGAAGGTTGCGATCTTCGTTGAGCCATCACCATTCACTCATATCAGCGGCTTGAAGAACCGCTTTGAGTCGTTGATACACGGCCTCCGCGAGGTCGGAGACAGCGTGCTGGTCGTGACGCCCGACCCAGCGCCGCCCAAGCACTTTTTCGGCGCGGAGGTGCGCAGCAGAGTGGTCTTGTAGACAGGTTGAGGGCCAAAGCCGGCTGGGTGTGGGTCACCTGAAGTCTTGCATGCGCCCTCCGTTCTGATGCCGTCTTGGCTACCAAAGTGTCCAATTTCACGGCCTGCCAGCAGCCATGCACCCACCATGTCCGCTGGCACGCCCACAATGTTCACCTGCCACGGCACACACCAGGTGATTGGCGTGTGGGGCTTCCGGCCGCCCCTCTACAACTCCCCCACCCTCCTCCTCTCCACCGGCCTCTCGGTGCACGCTGCACGCGCGCTCTGGAGGCTGCGGCCTGACGTCATCCATGTGTCAGGCCCCGGCCCCATGGTGTTCGCAGCCCTGCTGTACGCGCGCCTGTTCGGGGCGCCCTTGGTCATGAGCTACCACACCCACATACCAGAGTACATCCCGCGGTACACATGGCGTGGGCTGGTGGGGCCGGCGTGGGCCGTCATAAGGTGGTTTGTGCGGGCGGCCGATCTGACGCTGGTGACATCAGCGGCTATGAAGGTGTGCGTGGCTCAGCAGCCAGCTGGCTTCATTTTTGGCCCACGCGTGCGTGTTGCACGCGTGCTTGTTGGACGCGTGCTTGTTTGAGCAGGTGGATGTCTCTGCTTGCGCGCGAGAATATGTGAACGAGTGTGCAAAAGGTGTGTGCGGCTGTGTGTGGAGGGCGACGTGTATGGTTGCCAACCGCCGAAACAGTGTTTCGCCGCGGCAGCCGCCTAGGTGCCCTCACCCCCTACTGGCCCGTTGGCAGGTAAGTAGAAGCATCAAAGCACGCCTGTCGCGACACAACTTTTCATGGCAGCCAAACCCACATGCTTCACCAGGCGGAGCTGGTGCGCAATGGCTGCCCAGCGGACAGCATCGACGTGTGGCAGCGCGGCGTCGACACCAAGGCGTTCCACCCCCGCCACCGCAGCGAGGCCATGCGGGCGCGCCTCAGCGACGGCCACCCTCAGGCGCCGCTGCTGCTGCACGTCGGCCGCCTGGCCGCAGGTGCGCCTGCCTGCCAATCCCTGGGCTCCGCGCTCATAAAGCCACCGCTATGCCCTCATAGAGGCAAGGACCCGCCGCGCTCAACACCGCAAGCGGCCTGCTCTGTGACAAGGCTGTCTGGCCGGCTGGGTGACCGGGCAAGGTGCATCCCCTCTCGTCGATGCACTCAAACCCGCGCTGCCCCTTTGCTAGAAAGCTAGGCTGAGGCACTTAGCCCCCGTCCCCTCCCCCCCCGCTCCGTCCCGATGGACGTCCGATGGCGAGCCAAGCGGATGCCTGAATTCACCTGACCCTTCTGATAGAGAAGAACATCACGGCGCTGCTGGACGTCTTGCAGCAGCTGCCGGGGGCGCGGCTGGCGATCGTCGGCGATGGCCCGCTGCGGCTCGAGCTGGAGCAGCTGTTTCGGGGCATGCCTGTGAAGTTCACGGTGAGGCGGTCGGTCAAGCCTTACGATACGGGCACAGGCTGCGCCCAGGGCGTCGGTTTGTTCCCACTCAACAAGGCACGACTTGATGCTCAAGAGCAATTTCAGGTGCAGCGTGGCACAGCCCCTTTCTTCCCACGCCATCACCATCACCATCATCACAGGGCACCCTGCAGGGCCGCGATCTGTCCGAGGCGTTTGCCAGCGCCGACGCCTTTCTCATGCCCTCCGAGACCGAGACCCTCGGTTTTGTGGTCCTCGAGGCCATGGCCAGCGGGCTGCCCGTCGTCGCTGTCGCGGCCGGTGGCCTGACAGATGTTGTGTCGCGGCCGGGAGAGAACGGGCTGCTGTACCCTCCCGGAAATTACGCCACCTGCGCTGCGCACGCGCGGCGACTGATTGCGGACGTGGCCGCGCGGCGCGCCATGGGCGCCGCCGCGCGCCGTGAGGCGCAGCGGTTTGGCTGGGCGGCGGCAACGCGACACCTGCGGGAGCAGCAGTATGCACGCGCGGTCTGCAACGCCAAACCTAGGCCGCGGCGCTGCTCGAAATTCTGCGACGCCACCCTGAGGGCGCTGTCTCGTGCGCCGGCCGGGCTGTTGGTGGCGCTGTCGTCGCTGCTGGTGCTGCTGGCGGCGCTGGGCTACGCCCTGCCCTACCGGCCTGCTGCTGCTTGAGCCAGCAACCATGTTGGCGGGTTCAGATGATTTTGCGGGCTCAAGTACAGCGTTTGTCGTGCGCCCAGCAAAACCGTAACCCTGAGAGAGTGTATGTGGCTGCACGTCTGGGAGCGGCTGTCCCCTCCCCCTGCCAGTGCCTGCTTGAATTGGCACTGCCACCTCAAATCTCACAACGGGGCCATGTCACGCACACTTCTGCGAACCCGCCGCCGTGTACGCGGCCTCTCTGTGTGTTAGTTTGACCGTCAGAAACTATATTCCTGGGTGGGCTTCAGATATTCCCCATCGCCCCTGCCACCTGTGGCGCCACACTTGCTCTGCAGAACAGCTGATCAACATACTTTGATAAGCGCTTCACTTTGCTACATGCTTTTCCAACACGTGGTTGGTCAGAAGAGTGCGTGCTGAAGCTGCCAAGTCTCTAGGTCCAAAACCGCTGTGGGAAACCCTCACATATGCCTCAGAATCGCAATCATCACAACAGCACGAACGAGTGGAGAAGTTACAGCAGTCTGCGCCTAGACAAGGGATGTTTCAGCAGCCCTGACACGCATAGTCTTGGAGCGCACGGCAACACAGCGCCATCAAAGCGTCTTCCAGGTATCAAAAGCAAGAAACTGCCATGCATGCCGTGAAAGGCACGCGGGACCTCTGCGGCACAGACCACTGCATGCCTTCTTGGCCTTGCATGCATGCGTGCGTGCCGCTTGCCGGCATGCAGCTGGCGACAGCTATCGCTGCCCGTCGCGATGCCGCTGGCGTGACAACAAGCTGCTGTAGCCGCCGCTGCTGAGTGTAGTTGCTGCTGCTCCGCAACAATGCCCCCGCCGGCTCCAAAGACATACACTGCTACGTCGTCGTCGGGCTGCGGCCGCTGCTGCGAGCTCACGTAGGGCCGCGCTCAGATGATGCCGCGCCCCAGTGGCTTGGTGACCGCCGCGAGCCCTAGCCGCGTCTCCATTTGCGAGTGCATGTCTGGGGGCGCGGTCTCGGACTCCGAGGGCTGCCCAAGGTAAGACTCGAATCCAAACTCGTCCAGGGCGCCGGTGAGGGACTCGAGGCCGAGCTTGGACGACGGCAGCGCGCCGGGCAGGCGCGCGAAGCGGCCAAGGATCTGCTGCTCAATCTGCATCTTTGCAGGCAGAGCTACCCCGTAGAGTTGTCGCAGCATCTGCGCCTTGCCGGCGATGGCGGCCTCGGGGCGGCCGCTCTCCTGGATGGTCTGCACGGGGTGCTGCGGCAGCACGTCCTCCCGCAGGTTGCAGAGCCCCTGCCGCAGCGAGTCATGTGGCCGGCTCTGGAAGGGCAGCTCCATGGCTTGGTGATGCTGCTTCTGCGTGGAGCTGATCGAGGTCGGGAGTACGGCCCGCTTGCCCCAGAGGCTGGGACCACGAGAGACGACTTTTGATCTGGCTGGGCAACAGCAGAGGGGATTACACGTACATATATGACGCTTTCGGCAATCACTTGTGATGCCATTCACTGCGTCGGCGAGGAAGAAACCATCAAGCACGAGAGCAGCAGCTGCTGAAAGACTTGCGTGTGTCAGAAGATCACGCAGGTCGCCAGCACTCCACAGCACTTCTACACATCACAGAGCCATCGTATATAAACAGGAGACATTCAGTCGACAGCGTACCTTGGCTTCTATACACAGGCATTGCATACTTTCGCAAGAGCTCGACGCACTTTCAGGTCACCCCTGCCAATCGCATGCTCGCCTTGCGGCATCAGCGGCCCACAAAGCTCACCTAGCCGATGCCGAGTCCACCGGTAGAGTGGCAGGACTCAGGGTCCAAACGGGTCACGTTCAGCGATGCAGCGCCAGCGGTCGCGCCGGCGTCGCCGCAGCAGCCCGCGCACGATGAGGAGGAGGGCGCGGCCAATGGGCTAGGTGCGTCCTAGATATCACACGGCCTGTTTCTGCGGAAACGTAGGCGGCATGTACCCAGAGCCGGCGGCAGCCGCCACGCCGGCGGGGCCCCCTGCCCTGTATCTTGGTGAACGCACCCTGTGCTCCTGCTAATCCCTGTCCCTCCAGCAGATGGTGGCTCGGACTGGGAACAGCAGCACCTGCAGCACCAGCAGCAGCAGCAGGCTGACGACCCGGGCAGCAGCAGCCGCGGTTGGTACGCGCGGTTCAAGGCGGCGGTCAAGGCGCTCAAGCACGAGGTGCTCGCGATCTACTATGCCATCCACGACCCGCGCACCCCCTTCACGGCCAAGCTGCTGCCGTGGATCGCGCTCGCATACGCGCTCAGCCCGCTGGACCTCATCCCCGACTTCATCCCTGTCTTGGTGAGCGGCGGCAGGGGGGGGGGGTCCGAGGAAGGTGAAGCAGCATAGCCAGCATGGGGGCAGCGTGCCTAAGTGCGACGAACAGGCGGCTCAAGCGCCGCAGCCAACAATCGGCTGGCAAGCGCGGACTAAGGTTGCGACTTGGCGATTATCAAGCGTCGCAGTGGCCGGCCGCACATGCACATGCACTGGGGGCCTCAGCAGCTGTGCTGCTGCCGCCCATCGCACGGTTCGTCGCACGCGCATCCCTTGCGCGGCCCATGCGTCTGTCTGCTACCTCGAGCCCGGCCCCCACTCGTCCGCCCTCACACGCCCCCACCAGGGCTTCCTGGACGACATGCTGCTGCTGCCCGGCCTGCTGTGGCTCGCGGTGAAGCTCATACCCCCAGAGGTGCGCGGCTGTGGGCTCACTCACCCCCAATTGCTAGCTCGGCGCAGACCCTTTATGTGCACAACTGTGTGCGTCGGCATGCGAGCGCCTCCCTTGTGATGCCCAATCACTAAGCGACGATGACAAACCTGGGCCGCGCCCTCGCAGATCATGGCTGACGCGCGCCAGCGCGCGCACGTCGAGCCGCTGCGCCTGCACCGCAACTGGGGCGTCGCCACCCTGATATTCGTCCTGTGGACGGCCCTGGCCATGCTGCTGGCGCACCTGGGGTTCCAGCGCTGGGCGGACGCCGAGGCGCGGCCCTACGAATGGGCGGTGCTGGCGGGCACCGGCGGCGCGTGCGCGATCGCGTTTGTCACGTGGATGGTGTCGGTGCTGCAGCATGAGGCGCGGGAGCGCGACGAGTGGAGCGAGGTGCTCAACGCGCCGCTCAACCCGCCAGACAGCAGCGACAGCGAGTGAGGCGGCACCGAAGCCCTCTCTGCACAGGCTGTCTCGACGGCCCCGCCGGCGTTGCGGCGGGGATGGCCGTGCGCAGCGCTCGCGCTTCAATGATTCACGCTGGGTATCGCTGTCTGCTGCGGCGCCTTACACGGCCTCGATGGTCCCCCAAACCCTTTCGTTGCAGCGACTGCCCCTGCCGTCCGCATGGGGTTGCATGCGCCTGTCATTCGTACCCTTGCAGCGCGCTGATTGCCGCCGCTGCCTCCGCCAGCGACCCTGGCAGCTTTCGCGATCGCAACGCGGCTCTGCCAATGCGGCTGAGGCTCGCCCGGCGCGCAAGGTCACGTGCCTGCACCCATTGGCGCGGCCCTGCTGCCCCGTGAGTATTGCCACTTCCCAACTGTACCCAAACATCCCCTCAGGCGCATCACGGCCGCCTCTAGGCACCCCAATAGCGCCCCCTTGCAAGCTGAGTGTGGTGTACTGCTTCGTTAAGCAACCGTGTCGTTTCTTTACAGCACCAGGCTTGCTTGCCCTGGTGGTCAAACGTGAGTGCACCCTCTGATGCATCATGCACTGTGCTGCCTGGCTGGCAGATTCCATATGCACAGCGCACAGTCTAAAAACACCCCAGCATGTGTAATCAGCCCCAGTCACTAAACTGTGATGACCATCCCCCAGAAGGCACAGGCCCTCCAACAGATGGCTGCTGCTGATGGCGCTGCTGCTGCTGCTGCTGCTGCTGCTGCTGCTGCTGCTCTTGCAGGTGGTGCCCGCTCGCAGCTGCGCCATCAGTAGTATTCAAATAAACTGTCTGCGGGCCAGTGGCACCAGCACGCTCCGCTGCAACATGGGTGCCAATCATCCTCTCAGCTGGGGGGCCTGCTTTCTCTCGTGCACGCGTGGCTGCTGCCCTGTAGTTGGCTGCTGCCAGCGAGTCCGCTGTGTCAGCCTCAGCCGGCTCGGAGCATGTGGCACCGTCCAGTGCAGCTGCTGCGGACGCTATCGCTGCTGCTGCGGCTCCTGCTGGCGCCACAATCGCTGGGGGCCTGTCCGCGTGCAAGTCCTCGCCAGCGGCCCTGGTCGGGCCCCTGCGCTCGCCGCCCGGCGCCAGCCCCGCCGCCTGACCGGGGATGCGACATGCAGGGGCAGCAACACAGCCAGCGGCAGCACTACTCCCTGCGCTGCCCTGCGCCTCGCTGCAGCTGGCGGCAGGCGTCGCAAAGTAGAGCGGGCAAGTGCCGCTCGTCCCGGCCGCGCAGCTGTCGGCGGGCGTGGGCGTGCCGGCCAGGTGCGCCGCCCGGACGTGACTCAGCAGGCCCAGCAGGCTGCTGACCTGGCGCCTCAGGTGCGCGTTCTCTTCCATCAGGCCTGCCTTCTGCACAACCAGGTCCTGCACCTGCGCCGCAACCGCCGCCTCGAATGCTGCAATGTCGTCCTTGCTCACCGGCGCCGCAGCGCGGACGGCAGACCCCAGCCTCGCGGGGCCGCGCGGCTGCCCCGCTGCGCCTTCCTGCCGCGGATCTTGCAGGGGGGCGTCGGCGCCGCCGTCCGAGCCGCGGCCAGCTGGCGCGGTCAGCCGCCGCAGGCGCGCCTCGAGCTGCTGGCACCGCTCGATCGCGATGCGCAGCTCTCGGGCCAGCTCCCCCTTTTCCTCCTCAAGCCGCACCACCCTGTGCCTCAGCCGCCCCTCTTCGCTGCCCGCCGCCGCCGTGGCGCCAGCAACGGCCGCGGGCTGCGGGCGCTTGCCGGCCTTGGCAGCGCCGCGGCCTGGGTCGCGGCCACGGAAGCCGCTGTCAATGGAGACGAGGGCGTCGGCGCTGGCGTCGGCGGATGGCTGCTCCAGGGCGCCTGAGCGTTGGAGGCGCAAACACAAGATCGGTCAAGTTGTACGTCGTTGGCGGTTGAAGCACAGCAGCCAGACATCTCGTGAGCTTGGTGCAGGGCGCTGCAGGCCCCACACCCGGCTTCAAAGCAATCAGCATCTCAGCTTCGCGCCACGTGCGCCCCCGCACCTGGCAGACGGGCCCCTGTGCGGGGCCCCCGTCTATTGTCCTTCCACCGCGGCGCCACGCCGTTGCCGCCCGTGCTGCTGCTGCTGCTGCTGCATTCCGCGTCGCTGGCGTCGCCCACGCCCCAGCCGCCGTAGTCGTCGCGCGGGCCCCAGACGATCAGCGACGCGGCCGTCTGGCGCACGGTGTTGAAGAGGCCGCCCACCGCGTGAGAGATCTCCTCGGCCACCTCACCAAACCCGCCATTGACGTCGGCCAGCAGCCGCGGCGGCGCGGGGCGGGCCGGAGCGGGCGCGGCGCAGGCGGCGCGCTGCTGCCGCAGCTTCTGGCGCCCCGTGTCGTCGCTGCTAAGGTGCTGGGCGTGCGGCAGGCCGTGATGCTGCTGCTGCTGCTGCTGCTGCTGCTGTGGCTGCCGGTCCTGCGGCTGCCGCTCCTGCTGCCGCTGCTGCTGCGGCTGCCGCTGCCGCTGCTGCTGCTGCTGCTGCTGCCTCTGCTGCTGCGGCTGCAGCTGCTGCTGCGGCTGCCGCTGCTGCTGCGGCTGCTGCTGCTGCTGCGGCTGCTGCAACGGCTGCTGCGGCTGCTGCTCCTGCTGTTCATGATGCTGGTGATGGTCTTGCTGCGATAGCTGCCTTGGCGCCGCAACACGCAGGAAGGCTTCTTGCCGCGCCCGTAGCGCCTCGCACTCTGGCGAAAGCCAAGCCGGCCAGCCAAACACACCGTCCCACAGGGTCATGTCTACAGACCCCTGATCGTACGACGCCTGCTCACTGTCCTCGCGCTGACCGTCTCCCAGCATCGCCTGCCCTTTCGCAGCCTGCTCCAGCTTGCAGCGTTGCGCCGCAGCCGTTGCATCGATGAGTGCCGCCACGCCGCGGCGGCGGCGCACTTCGCCACCCTCCATTCGGGGGGTGCAAATCTTCGTTTTCTGTGTCTACTGGCCACACATGCCGTTTAGACGCGATGGTCAAACGAGTTGTTGCTTTCGAATTGTGGTGTGGGCCGGCAGAGGCGAGGGACGATTACCGAAAGTGCCGCATAAATAACGTCGAACATGTGTTACGGTATGACATGATACGAAGTCGCCTGTGTGCTTGCGGTGTGTAGGACCACCTGTCACATGGTGGTGCTTTGCAACATCATCACTGCGCTCAAGTGCGCGCTGAGGTATAATGTCTTGCTACGGAACTGTGGTGTACACCGTGCAGTATCTCTTTAGGTTTCCTCTGTCATACACCGACCGCGTGCATTCCTGATTTGTTCAAATGTTGAGGACGCATGCGGTGCTCCACAATCAGGCCTGCGCAAACTGCGTTGCCTGAACAATTTCAAAAACACTCGAGCATCGAGTGCGCCTGAGTCCACCGAGCGTCTGTCAAAAGCAACCGAGAAAGGCAAGATGGGCAAGCAGCGGGTGCACCGGCTGCCGCTGAATCAAAGCAAGCTGGGTTAGGGCTTTGATTCTCGTATGTGGCGTATGTATGTATGCAAGTATGGCCCCGTCCACATTCCCCCACGGCCCGCGCTGGCGTCTGGGCCAGCGAGGTCTGGGCCCTTCCTTGGCGGGCTCGCGCTCGTCTGCACGTGACCAGCACGACTGGTCTGCAGTGTGGTGCTGCACACACCGCAGATGCAGCTGTTTTTGGGGGGTTAGGTGACTGGTGGCAATACTGGGTAATTCCCTGTTGCACAGTCAGCTGACACAAACATTTGCTTTGGCGCGCACAACCACACAGCAGCCTTCCCCTGCTTTCCCATCTGCAACAGATGAGCACGCCACGTGACACCGCCGCCGAGGCCGATCATTTGCAGCCCCTTCTGGAAGAGTTCCGGCCCTATACCGTGCCCAGGCTGCAGGATTTCCTGGCGTCGTTTGAGGACCTCGTCAGGAAACAGCGCGCCGTGAGCTCTGAAGACCTGGAGGACTGGAGCCCTGAGGAGCGGGCGGACCACGAGGCGTCGATCGCAGCGCACGAGCGGAAGATTGTAGCATTAAAGCAGATCTTGAAGGGACATGTGAGCACCACTTGCGGGCGGGGCACGGCGGCACGGATGTGATGCTCCCCACCTGCGCCCGCACACCTGCGCGGCCGTGTGCACTTGCCGACACTCACCAACATAGCAGCTGCCCAGCTGCCATTGCAAAGGCAGGCGACGCTGCTGGCCTGGTCAGCTGGTGGCTTTATATCAACACACGCGGTTTGCTGCCCTTGCCGGGGCATTGGCGTCCACAGCCACCGGTGTTTTGATCCAATCAGGGGTTTTAAGATGGTGTGTGCACAGCTTCCTGTCAGGCACCGTGAGTGCTGGTGGCGCAGCGGCATTAGGCGCAACAACATTGCCATGCCCACCACAATCTACTGTGCTTTGTGCTGACCATATACGCTCAGGTCAAGCTGTGTAGCCTTGTCAGTCAAGCTACGTAGCTTTGCTGTTGCCCAGTGTGTGCAGCTTTCCCCAGCTACGAGTGGAGGAGTCGTCTGCTAGAAATATTGCATTCCACAGCAACCATCAAACGCTGCTGTGTCGTTGCGGCGCTTGTTTCATGGTAGCCCACTTGCTTGCGCTTCTATCGCACAGACACCCGCTTGTTTCATGGTGGTAAGAGTAGGCGCAAGGGATGGCCTGGGGTGGAGGGCCGCCGCTGCTGTCATTGGAGACCATCCACAAGGCTTTGGCACCAATTACTGAGATGGAGTGCAGCAACCTGAATCAGGATCCTGTACAGCAGAGTACAAACAACAACACAACGTCAGTAGCGTGTTAGCTTCGTTGGTTCATGTCCGTCTACAGTACATGAATGACTGAAACGCACGCGTCCAGAACAAAGGATGCGCACAAAGGGCGCCAGCCCCACCACCACTCACGCTACCCTGAGCTGCCCAGGCTGCGCCGCCCTCTGGCGATTGAGCAGGGCGCTGTTGTTGTCTGGAGCACGGCGGGGCGGGGCGGAGCGGGGCGCGGTCCGGGGTCGAGCAGGGGGTTTGGTTCAGTTGGGCGCAAGCACATGCAGACTGCTCAATACAAGCAAAGCTGTATGGGAGCGAGCGCGGGTCAGACACTGCCCTTTAAGCAAGTGGCGTCAGCAGGCCGGTCCGCAAGCATGTACAGTCTTCCCCCGCTACAGCGAACCCCGCAATAGCGAAAACCCTGCCTATAGTGAACGCCGCCGCTCCCCCCGATCGCTCGCCACACAAATCCACCCCGCCACAGCGAACATTCACTACGGCTATAGCGAACGCCAAAGGCCTCTCAGTTTCACTGTATGCAGGCGCGCTGTGGTCAGTGCCTTTGGGACTGCGTGGGGCCCACTCACCGCGTGTGGGGCATGTACATGCAGGCAGCCACCAGCTCCTGCGTATGCACCATACCCCCTTTCACTTCAGCATCTGCCACTGCTCACGGAGCTGATTTCTGAGCTTAATGAAGGTCGCACCCTGCTCAACTGGAGGGTCTGGCTGACCCTCCAGTATCACCGGTTACCTGCGCCACAGTGGCACCCACTCCGGCATGACTCAAGTTCAGTTGAACACATCACAGTGATCTTTCACGTGACGTTTGCCACAATTGCTCACACTTCAGAGCTCACAGTCTGGACTGAGCCATGTCTGCAGAGGCCTCTGTCAAGCCAAAAAGGCTGAACCTGACAGTGCATCAGAAGGTCGCATGCGAATAGGGTTTAGGGTCAACAAATTCCAGGCATCCTACAACCCCTTTGGCCCCACAGAGCTGATTTTGATAACATAATACTTGCTTGGCATGTGGCTGTTGGCATACAGAGCAAAGCAGCCCTCAAATGCTGGATTTTGTGACGTCCCCCGCCACACCGAACCAGCAGCTGCCAAATTTCACTATTCGCGATAGCGAACAAGCCGGCTATAGCGAACGAGCCGCCGACCCCGGATGGGTTCACTGTAGTGGGGGAAGACTGTACACGCATGTGCATCAGTATGCCCGTTGTTGACCGCAAAGTTGCCAGGTCAGCACGGGAGCCCCAAACGATCCCCAAGGGGATGGGAAACGCACGTTTGTCAATTGTTGACAAAAGACCTCCCGAGGATTCATGAGAGATTGATGGCCATTTCCCGAGGGATGCAACGGCACGCTCTGGCTGCTGTGAATGGTGGTGTTTTTGCAACATCATCATCAGCGGCTGCATGTAGAGCGATCAGCACGCTCAGGTGGCGTATTTCTATATGATACCGTCGTTTACATTATATGGTATACAATTCGGTCTCCTCTGTCATCCACTCAGCGCGTGCAATTCTGATTTGTGCAGCTCACCTCAAATTTGTGACGCCAGCCTCATTCTTCTAGGACAACTTAATCGATGTCGCTGGTAGTCGCTTGGCGCGCGCTGCTGCAGAGCTCAGCAGCACCCGCTACGGCGCATGCGGCGGCGACATGGGCACGAGCAGGCCGTGGTGCGGGTGCATCGTCGCCACCTGGCAGCACAACCACGGGCCTGCACACGTCAGCCGCGCCCGCCAGCCACACGCCCGACCCCTTCACGCAGTCGCTGCAGAGCAAGACGGAGCAGGAGCTGGCGCAGCTGCTGCAGAAGCGGCTGGAGGAGCAGCGGCACGCAGCGGCGGGGGCTGCGGCGGCAGGCGAGGGCAGCGATGCTGACGACGCCGACGCCAATGATGGGATCAACCCGGAGACAGGTGTGCACAGGGCCCTTCCTTGTGTGCAGCTGCGTGGGACTTGCGTATGCCCATTGTTGGCAGCACATGAAGGGCTCAGTCCAGTGTACGCATCCATACCGCTGCCGCGGTCGCTCGCCACCACATGCATCGCTCAAAAGCAGCCGCAACGCACACCCCCCTGAGCCCTGGCCAACCCTGCCCCCTGCGCTCGATTGCATCCAGGGGAGGTTGGCGGCCCCAAGGGCAAGGAACCCACGAGGTTTGGTGACTGGGAGCGTGGCGGCAAGGCGGTGGATTTCTGACGAGGCGCAAGCGTCGCAGCCGCACTGACCTTGCTGGCGGCGGGTCGCGCTCCCAGGCACGCATGTGATCAATCGGCAATCCCTTCGTACAACCTGACCAATCTCGTTTTACAGTTGTGTCTAGATTGTGGATTGTCCCCGCCCCAGCAATGGGTGGCATACAGTCTTTCTGTGCGCGCGTTGGCCCCCAAGGAAATACAGCAGCTTGTCGTGACTCACGGCTTGTTCTTGCCGCAGCAGGCGTGGCAATTTCCGAAGTGGCGCAGCCGTCAGTAGGGGGACGCGCGGCATTTCAGTCAAATGCGCGCGTTCTACGCCCTTGCGGCGCGGCCGTTCAGGGAGGTTTGCCGCACCCAGGAATGGGTGCTTGCATGCATACGTATGCATGCACAATGTGCGCGCTCGATTGCACGCCTCGTAAATTGCGCGCACGAATGTAATCAGGTTTTGTCCGTAAAGCAGTGATGTCAAGAACGCCCGGTTGTGTCCCCCTTCCTTGTGGCTGTGGCTGTGGCTGCCAATGCAATTCAAACGCAAATCGGGTGCAACAGCAACTGTCTGAGCCCCCAACACCGATGGCTCCGTGCGACCCCGGTCGCCGTCCAACAGAGGCTGGCGCCGTGCTTTTCGCACGCCAGCGGTGCGCCTCGCGCCCACCGACACTTCAGGCGTTCTTCTGGGGCGCGGGGATGGACTTGACCCTTGACAGCAGCCCCGCCTGCCCCCCCTGAGCGCCCCACTCCTGCGGCGGCGCCGGCGCCGGGGGGATGCGGCTGGGGGTCGTCTCCCGCAGCAGCCGCTTCACAGTGATCGTCGACGTCTTCGCGCAGCCGCCGTCCGCCGCTCCCGCGTCCGCCTGCTCCTTGGCGGCCGCAGAGTCGGCGCCCTGATCCCCGCGCTGCGTCACCACCGCCATCACGCCCTCCTCGTCCTCCGCGCTCTCGCCGGCCGGCCCGCCTGCGCCGCCGCCCTGCGGCGCGCGCCGGTCTGCCTGCAGTACCTTCTGGGCACCGCCGGCGCCGGCGGTCTTCGGCTGCAGTTGCGGCTCGAGCCCGTCGGCCCCTGCTCCTGCCGCTGCAGCCCGGGCGTGCTCCTGGCCCCGCTGCTGCGGCCGCGGCCCCGCTTTGGAGCCGTCCGCAGCCGCCGCCTTGGCCTCGCCGGAGGGCAGGGCCGAGCGCTCGGCGTCTGCCTTCGCCGCCGCGGCCGCGGTGGGGCTGTCGATCCCCAGCCGCTGCTGCTCCTGCGCCGCGAGCGCCGCGATCGCGTCCTTGCGCTGCCGCGCCGACCTGCCCGCCTCCGCCGCACGCGCGCTCGAGCCGCGCTCGCGCGCGAGCTGCAGCTGCTGCTGCTGCTGCGCCTCGAGGCGCTGCAGCGCTGCCTGGCGCTGCGGCACTCCGGTGGGCAGGTCCACCTCGAGCACGGGCGCCTCCGCCTGGCCCCGGCCCGCGGACGCCGCCCCGTCCTGCCCGACAGCAGCGTTCACGGCGACCCCTGCAGCGGCCGCGGCGGGCGGCGCCGCCTCGCGGGCGTCAGGAGGCGGGGCGGCTGTGCTTGAGAGGCTGCCCACGCCCGCGCGCGCCGCGACCTCCGAAAACACGGCAGCCGGCGCCGCGGCGCCGCCGCCGCGGACGTTCCAGGCGCCGCGGGCGCCGCCTCGGCCCGCGAACGGCGACGACGGCGCGCCGAAGCTGCGGGGGGTGCCGGGGGTCGAGCGCGGCGCGGCGCCAGACGTGCTGCCGACGCTGCAGTCGCCATCAGAGTCAGGCACTGGGCCGGTGGTGGTCGGCGTCCTCGTCAGCGTGGCGCCGCGCGGCCCGCCGCTTTGCGCCTCGCCGGCCCCCACGGCGGCCGCGCCGCCCTGCCGCACGCTCCCCTCGCTCGCGGCCGGCCGCTCCGCGCCGGGCAGCGTCAGGGATGACAGGCGCAGCGGCGGCGCGGGCGGCGCGCGTGGGGCGTTGGTGCTGCCGGCCGCCGAGCCCGCGGCACAGCTGGCCAGCTTGGGGCTGCCCGTCAAGACCGAATGATGCTCATCAGACAGCACGCCCTCATCCTCGACGGGGGCCTCGACAACGCCGGCTGCGCCCACTGCCTTGGCAGCAGCACCCCGGGGGCCGCCTTGCTTCGGCCCCCCCGCCGCCTGCGCCCCAGCGCCGCCCCGCCCCGCGCTCTCGTTCGCGGCGGACGCGCCGTCCGGCGCGTGCGACATGTCGCGGCCGGGGGTCGGCGTTGGGGAGGGGCTCGCGCGCTCGAGCATGTGGGAGCGCAGCTGCCGCCCGAGGCGGTGGCGGCGCTGCTTCAGCTTCTGCTCCTTCTGGGCCAGCTGCTGCTGCTCAAACTCCTTCATGTCGCGCGGGGTGATGGTCTCGCCGGTGAAGGCGCCTGCGCGGTGGCCGGAGGGGGCGGGGGAGGGGGTGGTTGAAAGTGGCCGACACCTTGCCCCTGCTTTGACCGCAAAATCAGGTTTGTCAGTCTGAAGTGGCGAGTCAGCTCAATGAATGGGGTTTTTTACCCCTTTTGCCTGCCGGTACTGCGCTAGACCCAACACGCCCCAGTGGCCCTAGGGACACTT